GCTCGAATCGCTGTAGATGTCGTCTAACATTATACTAGATTTTTCTCAAATTATTGAACTGATTATGACAAAACTTGACAGGAATGCTTGAAATAATCCGTATTACAAAGGAAAAAAGTCACATTCAGTTTATTTAACAAAAAAGTCTTCTTTAGGTGTAATACCACCAAATCATAGTACGTCACATCCGGCTGCATACGAAAATAGGTCTAAAAAAATATTCCCTTGAATTTGACAGTTGTAGGTAATTGATCCTACATTTCATTGCAGTAAAACATTTCTGGGTCATAAACATATATCTTGGGTATTTCAAAGCACCATTATTTTTTTATTTGGGGTTTCTATAAAATATTTTGGAAACTTGAGGTTACATGGTTACTAAAGCTTGTACACAGGTTAAAAAAGGGGGAAAATTTGATTGGTTAACTTCCAGTGATGGTTATTTTCTTATATGCAATGAAATATTCTATAGTACTGGACAGGATAAAACTTTACTCATGCCAAGTATTTCTTTATTTGAAACAAAGATATATTCTGCACAATGTTTTGAAAAGTGCAAATTTAACAAAGACTAATAGGGGAAAATCAATGGTGGTATTACACCTAATATGGGAAGCTGTACATGCACTTTTGACCTTGTGAGTACTCTCATGTGTTAAAATTTCTTGCTATTTAAGTGAAATATTACAAATAATGAAATATTCTGAGGTGATTGAGTCTCCAAAACACATTTTATAAGAAAATTTCCTTGAAATAGGACTTTACCATGAATATTAGTTGACAGAACAAGCCATACTTAGAGTTTGGGTGAGCTTTTTCTCCTTATTTATTATATTCTGCTATACTAGAAATTTTTTCCTAGGAAATACTTAAATAAATATATAGTTTTAAGTAAATGAAATTATTTTTAAAGCAGTAACAACAAGTTATTCACCAAAAGAGAAGCTTTTTATGTCCCTCTCTGGGACGCGGCGTAAATTTAAGTTTTACGTAAGGACTTATTGAAACCTCCTTGGAGACAGCAAACTTTTATACGGATAGTTCATTCAGCTTGAATACTTCAATTAATCATTTATTATAACATTTCTATCATAAATGAGTAAAAGTTACCCCAGAATTTTTATTTATTGGCCTAAAAAGTAGAAATTTTGAGGAAATGAGAGGTATAAATGGACCAAAAGAGACCTTATAAGGAAGACAAAGAGGTCCATTAGTACTATTTATCATCCTAAAGTCATCTTTTGTATCATATTCAACTGTTTGTAGGCAGATGAGATAAATATTTGATCATTTATTGGTCCACACTATATTCTATCATGATGCGGCTGGGTTTGGATTTTTAGAAGAAATTTTGCTCGAATCGCTGTAGATGTCGTCTAACATTATATTAGATTTTTCTCAAATTATTGAACTGATTATGACAAAACTTGACAGGAATGCTTGAAATAATCCGTATTACAAAGGAAAAAAGTCACATTCAGTTTATTTAACAAAAAAGTCTTCTTTAGGTGTAATACCACCAAATCATAGTACGTCACATCCGGTTGCATACGAAAATAGGTCTAAAAAAATATTCCCTTGAATTTGACAGTTGTAGGTAATTGATCCTACATTTCATTGCAGTAAAACATTTCTGGGTCATAAACATATATCTTGGGTATTTCAAAGCACCATTATTTTTTTATTTGGGGTTTCTATAAAATATTTTGGAAACTTGAGGTTACATGGTTACTAAAGCTTGTACACAGGTTAAAAAAGGGGGAAAATTTGATTGGTTAACTTCCAGTGATGGTTATTTTCTTATATGCAATGAAATATTCTATAGTACTGGACAGGATAAAACTTTACTCATGCCAAGTATTTCTTTATTTGAAACAAAGATATATTCTGCACAATGTTTTGAAAAGTGCAAATTTAACAAAGACTAATAGGGGAAAATCAATGGTGGTATTACACCTAATATGGGAAGCTGTACATGCACTTTTGACCTTGTGAGTACTCTCATGTGTTAAAATTTCTTGCTATTTAAGTGAAATATTACAAATAATGAAATATTCTGATGTGATTGAGTCTCCAAAACACATTTTATAAGAAAATTTCCTTGAAATAGGACTTTACCATGAATATTAGTTGACAGAACAAGCCATACTTAGAGTTTGGGTGAGCTTTTTCTCCTTATTTATTATATTCTGCTATACTAGAAATTTTTTCCTAGGAAATACTTAAATAAATATATAGTTTTAAGTAAATGAAATTATTTTTAAAGCAGTAACAACAAGTTATTCACCAAAAGAGAAGCTTTTTATGTCCCTCTCTGGGACGCGGCGTAAATTTAAGTTTTACGTAAGGACTTATTGAAACCTCCTTGGAGACAGCAAACTTTTATACGGATAGTTCATTCAGCTTGAATACTTCAATTAATCATTTATTATAACATTTCTATCATAAATGAGTGAAAGTTACCCCAGAATTTTTATTTATTGGCCTAAAAAGTAGAAATTTTGAGGAAATGAGAGGTATAAATGGACCAAAAGAGACCTTATAAGGAAGACAAAGAGGTCCATTAGTACTATTTATCATCCTAAAGTCATCTTTTGTATCATATTCAACTGTTTGTAGGCAGATGAGATAAATATTTGATCATTTATTGGTCCACACTATATTCTATCATGATGCGGCTGGGTTTGGATTTTTAGAAGAAATTTTGCTCGAATCGCTGTAGATGTCGTCTAACATTATACTAGATTTTTCTCAAATTATTGAACTGATTATGACAAAACTTGACAGGAGTTCTTGAAATAATCCGTATTACAAAGGAAAAAAGTCACATTCAGTTTATTTAACAAAAAAGTCTTCTTTAGGTGTAATACCACCAAATCATAGTACGTCACATCCGGTTGCATACGAAAATAGGTCTAAAAAAATATTCCCTTGAATTTGACAGTTGTAGGTAATTGATCCTACATTTCATTGCAGTAAAACATTTCTGGGTCATAAACATATATCTTGGGTATTTCAAAGCACCATTATTTTTTTATTTGGGGTTTCTATAAAATATTTTGGAAACTTGAGGTTACATGGTTACTAAAGCTTGTACACAGGTTAAAAAAGGGGGAAAATTTGATTGGTTAACTTCCAGTGATGGTTATTTTCTTATATGCAATGAAATATTCTATAGTACTGGACAGGATAAAACTTTACTCATGCCAAGTATTTCTTTATTTGAAACAAAGATATATTCTGCACAATGTTTTGAAAAGTGCAAATTTAACAAAGACTAATAGGGGAAAATCAATGGTGGTATTACACCTAATATGGGAAGCTGTACATGCACTTTTGACCTTGTGAGTACTCTCATGTGTTAAAATTTCTTGCTATTTAAGTGAAATATTACAAATAATGAAATATTCTGAGGTGATTGAGTCTCCAAAACACATTTTATAAGAAAATTTCCTTGAAATAGGACTTTACCATGAATATTAGTTGACAGAACAAGCCATACTTAGAGTTTGGGTGAGCTTTTTCTCCTTATTTATTATATTCTGCTATACTAGAAATTTTTTCCTAGGAAATACTTAAATAAATATATAGTTTTAAGTAAATGAAATTATTTTTAAAGCAGTAACAACAAGTTATTCACCAAAAGAGAAGCTTTTTATGTCCCTCTCTGGGACGCGGCGTAAATTTAAGTTTTACGTAAGGACTTATTGAAACCTCCTTGGAGACAGCAAACTTTTATACGGATAGTTCATTCAGCTTGAATACTTCAATTAATCATTTATTATAACATTTCTATCATAAATGAGTGAAAGTTACCCCAGAATTTTTATTTATTGGCCTAAAAAGTAGAAATTTTGAGGAAATGAGAGGTATAAATGGACCAAAAGAGACCTTATAAGGAAGACAAAGAGGTCCATTAGTACTATTTATCATCCTAAAGTCATCTTTTGTATCATATTCAACTGTTTGTAGGCAGATGAGATAAATATTTGATCATTTATTGGTCCACACTATATTCTATCATGATGCGGCTGGGTTTGGATTTTTAGAAGAAATTTTGCTCGAATCGCTGTAGATGTCGTCTAACATTATACTAGATTTTTCTCAAATTATTGAACTGATTATGACAAAACTTGACAGGAATGCTTGAAATAATCCGTATTACAAAGGAAAAAAGTCACATTCAGTTTATTTAACAAAAAAGTCTTCTTTAGGTGTAATACCACCAAATCATAGTACGTCACATCCGGTTGCATACGAAAATAGGTCTAAAAAAATATTCCCTTGAATTTGACAGTTGCAGGTAATTGATCCTACATTTCATTGCAGTAAAACATTTCTGGGTCATAAACATATATCTTGGGTATTTCAAAGCACCATAATTTTTTTATTTGGGGTTTCTATAAAATATTTTGGAAACTTGAGGTTACATGGTTACTAAAGCTTGTACACAGGTTAAAAAAAGGGGGAAAATTTGATTGGTTAACTTCCAGTGATGGTTATTTTCTTATATGCAATGAAATATTCTATAGTACTGGACAGGATAAAACTTTACTCATGCCAAGTATTTCTTTATTTGAAACAAAGATATATTCTGCACATTGTTTTGAAAAGTGCAAATTTAACAGAGACTAATAGGGGAAAATCAATGGTGGTATTACACCTAATATGGGAAGCTGTACATGCACTTTTGACCTTGTGAGTACTCTCATGTGTTAAAATTTCTTGCTATTTATGTGAAATATTACAAATAATGAAATATTCTGAGGTGATTGAGTCTCCAAAACACATTTTATAAGAAAATTTCCTTGAAATAGGACTTTACCATGAATATTAGTTGACAGAACAAGCCATACTTAGAGTTTGGGTGAGCTTTTTCTCCTTATCTATTATATTCTGCTATACTAGAAATTTTTTCCTAGGAAATACTTAAATAAATATATAGTTTTAAGTAAATGAAATTATTTTTAAAGCAGTAAACAACAAGTTATTCACCAAAAGAGAAGCTTTTTATGTCCCTCTCTGGGACGCGGCGTAAATTTAAGTTTTACGTAAGGACTTATTGAAACCTCCTTGGAGACAGCAAACTTTTATACGGATAGTTCATTCAGCTTGAATACTTCAATTAATCATTTATTATAACATTTCTATCATAAATGAGTGAAAGTTACCCCAGAATTTTTATTTATTGGCCTAAAAAGTAGAAATTTTGAGGAAATGAGAGGTATAAATGGACCAAAAGAGACCTTATAAGGAAGACAAAGAGGTCCATTAGTACTATTTATCATCCTAAAGTCATCTTTTGTATCATATTCAACTGTTTGTAGGCAGATGAGATAAATATTTGATCATTTATTGGTCCACACTATATTCTATCATGATGCGGCTGGGTTTGGATTTTTAGAAGAAATTTTGCTCGAATCGCTGTAGATGTCGTCTGACATTATACTAGATTTTTCTCAAATTATTGAACTGATTATGACAAAACTTGACAGGAATGCTTGAAATAATCCGTATTACAAAGGAAAAAAGTCACATTCAGTTTATTTAACAAAAAAGTCTTCTTTAGGTGTAATACCACCAAATCATAGTACGTCACATCCGGTTGCATACGAAAATAGGTCTAAAAAAATATTCCCTTGAATTTGACAGTTGTAGGTAATTGATCCTACATTTCATTGCAGTAAAACATTTCTGGGTCATAAACATATATCTTGGGTATTTCAAAGCACCATTATTTTTTTATTTGGGGTTTCTATAAAATATTTTGGAAACTTGAGGTTACATGGTTACTAAAGCTTGTACACAGGTTAAAAAAGGGGGAAAATTTGATTGGTTAACTTCCAGTGATGATTATTTTCTTATATGCAATGAAATGTTATGTGAAATTTTTTCTATAGTACTGGACAGGATAAAACTTTACTCATGCCAAGTATTTCTTTATTTGAAACAAAGATATATTCTGCACAATGTTTTGAAAAGTGCAAATTTAACAAAGACTAATAGGGGAAAATCAATGGTGGTATTACACCTAATATGGGAAGCTGTACATGCACTTTTGACCTTGTGAGTACTCTCATGTGTTAAAATTTCTTGCTATTTAAGTGAAATATTACAAATAATGAAATATTCTGAGTGGATTGAGTCTCCAAAACACATTTTATAAGAAAATTTCCTTGAAATAGGACTTTACCATGAATATTAGTTGACAGAACAAGCCATACTTAGAGTTTGGGTGAGCTTTTTCTCCTTATTTATTATATTCTGCTATACTAGAAATTTTTTCCTAGGAAATACTTAAATAAATATATAGTTTTAAGTAAATGAAATTATTTTTAAAGCAGTAACAACAAGTTATTCACCAAAGGAGAAGCTTTTTATGTCCCTCTCTGCGTTGCGGCGTAAATTTAAGTTTTACGTAAGGACTTATTGAAACCTCCTTGGAGACAGCAAACTTTTACACGGATAGTTCATTCAGCTTGAATACTTCAATTAATCATTTATTATAACATTTCTATCATAAATGAGTGAAAGTTACCCCAGAATTTTTATTTATTGGCCTAAAAAGTAGAAATTTTGAGGAAATGAGAGGTATAAATGGACCAAAAGAGACCTTATAAGGAAGACAAAGAGGTCCATTAGTACTATTTATCATCCTAAAGTCATCTTTTGTATCATATTCAACTGTTTGTAGGCAGATGAGATAAATATTTGATCATTTATTGGTCCACACTATATTCTATCATGATGCGGCTGGGTTTGGATTTTTAGAAGAAATTTTGCTCGAATCGCTGTAGATGTCGTCTAACATTATACTAGATTTTTCTCAAATTATTGAACTGATTATGACAAAACTTGACAGGAATGCTTGAAATAATCCGTATTACAAAGGAAAAAAGTCACATTCAGTTTATTTAACAAAAAAGTCTTCTTTAGGTGTAATACCACCAAATCATAGTACGTCACATCCGGTTGCATACGAAAATAGGTCTAAAAAAATATTCCCTTGAATTTGACAGTTGTAGGTAATTGATCCTACATTTCATTGCAGTAAAACATTTCTGGGTCATAAACATATATCTTGGGTATTTCAAAGCACCATTATTTTTTTATTTGGGGTTTCTATAAAATATTTTGGAAACTTGAGGTTACATGGTTACTAAAGCTTGTACACAGGTTAAAAAAGGGGGAAAATTTGATTGGTTAACTTCCAGTGATGGTTATTTTCTTATATGCAATGAAATGTTATGTGAAATTTTTTCTATAGTACTGGACAGGATAAAACTTTACTCATGCCAAGTATTTCTTTATTTGAAACAAAGATATATTCTGCACAATGTTTTGAAAAGTGCAAATTTAACAAAGACTAATAGGGGAAAATCAATGGTGGTATTACACCTAATATGGGAAGCTGTACATGCACTTTTGACCTTGTGAGTACTCTCATGTGTTAAAATTTCTTGCTATTTAAGTGAAATATTACAAATAATGAAATATTCTGAGTGGATTGAGTCTCCAAAACACATTTTATAAGAAAATTTCCTTGAAATAGGACTTTACCATGAATATTAGTTGACAGAACAAGCCATACTTAGAGTTTGGGTGAGCTTTTTCTCCTTATTTATTATATTCTGCTATACTAGAAATTTTTTCCTAGGAAATACTTAAATAAATATATAGTTTTAAGTAAATGAAATTATTTTTAAAGCAGTAACAACAAGTTATTCACCAAAAGAGAAGCTTTTTATGTCCCTCTCTGCGTTGCGGCGTAAATTTAAGTTTTACGTAAGGACTTATTGAAACCTCCTTGGAGACAGCAAACTTTTACACGGATAGTTCATTCAGCTTGAATACTTCAATTAATCATTTATTATAACATTTCTATCATAAATGAGTGAAAGTTACCCCAGAATTTTTATTTATTGGCCTAAAAAGTAGAAATTTTGAGGAAATGAGAGGTATAAATGGACCAAAAGAGACCTTATAAGGAAGACAAAGAGGTCCATTAGTACTATTTATCATCCTAAAGTCATCTTTTGTATCATATTCAACTGTTTGTAGGCAGATGAGATAAATATTTGATCATTTATTGGTCCACACTATATTCTATCATGATGCGGCTGGGTTTTGATTTTTAGAAGAAATTTTGCTCGAATCGCTGTAGATGTCGTCTAACATTATACTAGATTTTTCTCAAATTATTGAACTGATTATGACAAAACTTGACAGGAATGCTTGAAATAATCCGTATTACAAAGGAAAAAAGTCACATTCAGTTTATTTAACAAAAAAGTCTTCTCTATGGGAAGCTGTACATGCACTTTTGACCTTGTGAGTACTCTCATGTGTTAAAATTTCTTGCTATTTAAGTGAAATATTACAAATAATGAAATATTCTGAGTGGATTGAGTCTCCAAAACACATTTTATAAGAAAATTTCCTTGAAATAGGACTTTACCATGAATACTAGTTGACAGAACAAGCCATACTTAGAGTTTGGGTGAGCTTTTTCTCCTTATTTATTATATTCTGCTATACTAGAAATTTTTTCCTAGGAAATACTTAAATAAATATATAGTTTTAAGTAAATGAAATTATTTTTAAAGCAGTAACAACAAGTTATTCACCAAAAGAGAAGCTTTTTATGTCCCTCTCTGCGTTGCGGCGTAAATTTAAGTTTTACGTAAGGACTTATTGAAACCTCCTTGGAGACAGCAAACTTTTACACGGATAGTTCATTCAGCTTGAATACTTCAATTAATCATTTATTATAACATTTCTATCATAAATGAGTGAAAGTTACCCCAGAATTTTTATTTATTGGCCTAAAAAGTAGAAATTTTGAGGAAATGAGAGATATAAATGGACCAAAAGAGACCTTATAAGGAAAACAAAGAGGTCCATTAGTACTATTTATCATCCTAAAGTCATCTTTTGTATCATATTCAACTGTTTGTAGGCAGATGAGATAAATATTTGATCATTTATTGGTCCACACTACATTCTATCATGATGAGGCTGGGTTTGGATTTTTAGAAGAAATTTTGCTCGAATCGCTGTAGATGTCGTCTAACATTATACTAGATTTTTCTCAAATTATTCAACTGATTATGACAAAACTTGACAGGAATGCTTGAAATAATCCGTATTACAAAGGAAAAAAGTCACATTCAGTTTATTTAACAAAAAAGTCTTCTTTATGGGAAGCTGTACATGCACTTTTGACCTTGTGAGTACTCTCATGTGTTAAAATTTCTTGCTATTTAAGTGAAATATTACAAATAATGAAATATTCTGAGTGGATTGAGTCTCCAAAACACATTTTATAAGAAAATTTCCTTGAAATAGGACTTTACCATGAATATTAGTTGACAGAACAAGCCATACTTAGAGTTTGGGTGAGCTTTTTCTCCTTATTTATTATATTCTGCTATACTAGAAATTTTTTCCTAGGAAATACTTAAATAAATATATAGTTTTAAGTAAATGAAATTATTTTTAAAGCAGTAACAACAAGTTATTCACCAAAAGAGAAGCTTTTTATGTCCCTCTCTGCGTTGCGGCGTAAATTTAAGTTTTACGTAAGGACTTATTGAAACCTCCTTGGAGACAGCAAACTTTTACACGGATAGTTCATTCAGCTTGAATACTTCAATTAATCATTTATTATAACATTTCTATCATAAATGAGTGAAAGTTACCCCAGAATTTTTATTTATTGGCCTAAAAAGTAGAAATTTTGAGGAAATGAGAGGTATAAATGGACCAAAAGAGACCTTATAAGGAAGACAAAGAGGTCCATTAGTACTATTTATCATCCTAAAGTCATCTTTTGTATCATATTCAACTGTTTGTAGGCAGATGAGATAAATATTTGATCATTTATTGGTCCACACTATATTCTATCATGATGCGGCTGGGTTTTGATTTTTAGAAGAAATTTTGCTCGAATCGCTGTAGATGTCGTCTAACATTATACTAGATTTTTCTCAAATTATTGAACTGATTATGACAAAACTTGACAGGAATGCTTGAAATAATCCGTATTACAAAGGAAAAAAGTCACATTCAGTTTATTTAACAAAAAAGTCTTCTTTATGGGAAGCTGTACATGCACTTTTGACCTTGTGAGTACTCTCATGTGTTAAAATTTCTTGCTATTTAAGTGAAATATTACAAATAATGAAATATTCTGAGTGGATTGAGTCTCCAAAACACATTTTATAAGAAAATTTCCTTGAAATAGGACTTTACCATGAATATTAGTTGACAGAACAAGCCATACTTAGAGTTTGGGTGAGCTTTTTCTCCTTATTTATTATATTCTGCTATACTAGAAATTTTTTCCTAGGAAATACTTAAATAAATATATAGTTTTAAGTAAATGAAATTATTTTTAAAGCAGTAACAACAAGTTATTCACCAAAAGAGAAGCTTTTTATGTCCCTCTCTGCGTTGCGGCGTAAATTTAAGTTTTACGTAAGGACTTATTGAAACCTCCTTGGAGACAGCAAACTTTTACACGGATAGTTCATTCAGCTTGAATACTTCAATTAATCATTTATTATAACATTTCTATCATAAATGAGTGAAAGTTACCCCAGAATTTTTATTTATTGGCCTAAAAAGTAGAAATTTTGAGGAAATGAGAGGTATAAATGGACCAAAAGAGACCTTATAAGGAAGACAAAGAGGTCCATTAGTACTATTTATCATCCTAAAGTCATCTTTTGTATCATATTCAACTGTTTGTAGGCAGATGAGATAAATATTTGATCAT